TGTTATTATAAATAAAAAGACTAAATAATGGAGTCAAAAAATAGGCAAAAAAGTAGACAAACAAAAACAACTGTTCAATGAGCATCAATTTGCAGTCTCTATTCATTGTAATTTGCAATTTCATATTCAGGGTGTCACCATGATATTGAGTTTTAAAGTAACCATTTTGATTGGTTAAAAGCCAAAAGAAGCAAAAAAAGATGAATATTTTTGAATGACAAGAGAAGCGAGTCGACAATTATTCAATGAAGATAATGATGATGAGATTTATCCTCCTCAGGAGTGGTCATAATAAACTTTTTTTAAGGTGGAAAAAGATTCGATAATTTGTAAGAAAGGAAACAACAAATGATGAGGGAAACAAACATCACAGCAGGTCAAAGATGAAAAGTACAAAGGAAAGATTGAAATACAAATAATCTTTTCCTATTCATATTGTTGACTTTTTTTTGTTGAGTAAAAAAAAAATATTTCCGTCAAAAGTTAAAGTAAAGTTCAGTTAAGTTTGGAATCAGATTTAAAATAAACTGACCATGATTCCTATTTATATCACTGATTAGGTTTGCGATGTGTTATAAGTGGTAATGTTGACAAAGGTAAATAAAGATTTGGTTCGTGTTGAGGTTTTTTTACCTGAAAAATATTTTTTCAAACTAGTGGAAATAGAAATTCATTCAAAGCAAAGATACAGAATATCTAAACTTCTAGGCGCCATTTTCCGCAGGTATCAAGCTAACAACCTAACTTTACCTACATGTGAAATTTTGAGTCAAGCAGTCAAATATTGACCAATTATGCCTTCAATGAGTGAATCAAAGCGGCCAAAGTAAAACATACGCTTTGATTGTCATAAACTGAATCGACTCAATTATTTCATTCGATTCTATTTGGTTGGCGTCTTGAAATGTCTTGAAATATTATATGTAACTATTGCTAATTTTAGTTGATTGATACAGTTGTTTATGTTGTATTTATATTGCATTGCAAGTCAAACCAGGTCAAAGTTTTCTTGTCCTTCGTCTGTAAAAGAAAGTCTACTTGAAAGGTCAACCTAGCTATTAGCACTTTACATTAGCACCTTGAGTAACATTAATGCATCAATTTAACTGTTTTTACCTTTTACTAGTAGTTTTGTTGTAATGGCTAAAAGTTGGCAAAATGAAAACTGTTGCCAAAAAGATGAAACCGATTCTCCCTTTAAAATGACCTCGTATTTGTATTTACTTTGGTAAACTTAAGTTTGACCCAATGTTCATTTCCTTTTAAAGTGCTACCCAAGAATGTATCATGCAATAACTGTGGGGATTCTCATTGAATAAAGAGGAAAAGAAATGGAAAGACGAGAAAAGGTAAAAAAAAGAACAACATTTTGTACATTAATATTCTCTAGTTTCTCGTCAATAATTATCACAGTCAGTTACAGTGTGTGGTCTTACAAGACTTTATCATAATCATCATCTTCAGAATCATCACTTTACAGTGTTACGTGAAACTGCGCGTGTAGCTTTCAGTTTATACCTAAACATGAAGAAAGTGAACAACAACAACAACAACTAAAAAAAGGTAAGTCTTTTGAAGTAAGTGTGAGCCGTAAATTGGCCAGATTAGGTAATAAAGAAGCAAATGTTGATCATGTTATTCACCAGGCAAGAAGCTTTAGATCACTAAAGGTGGTACAAAGAAGAGAAAAGAAGAGAGAAAAGAATGTTTACCTTGATAAGGTAAACAGGTTAAAAAATTTTATTATTCGCTTTCTTCTTATACTGTCCATATAATGGCCAATATAACAATAATTGCATTGATTGCTTCCAATCATTACCTTTCAATAACAAACGATTAAACAAGAGAAACGGTAACAACACTGTAAATCTGGTAAATGAAAGCTAAAGTGATCTTTCAATGCAAACAAAACTTTCACTGCTGGACGATAAATTGAAAGCTACTTTTTTTAATCAAATCAAGGTAAATGCAAATATTGTAAATTACAGAGGAAAAAAATGAATGATAATGGAAAAGGTATAATAAAAGAATGAGGTCAAACTTGGAAACTTGTCATGAACTTTTTCCTGTTAAATTTTAATGTAAAAAAAGCAAATGATTCTCATGATGATGATCAGGGTAAGAAAAAAGGAAGAGATTCAAGTTGCTGTTATAGTAGGCATCAAGTAAAGCCACTCCCTGAGGTTTCCTTGAGCAAAAACAAAGGGGTGGTAAAGTGGTGGTTAAGGTGAGGGTGAAAGAGGCGGAGGAACAGGTAAAGTTGATCAAGGATGAAGGAGGATGAAAGAGGATAAGTTGCATCAGGAAAGATCAACTGACGGAAAGGAAAGACAATTTTTTTCGCCTTCTTCTTCTTCTTCTCTTTCCATCTAAAGATTCTTGGAGAAAGTAAAAGAGATGAAAATGTTCATGAGACTGTCTTTTGATGATATGTATCCATGCGCATCATCACATTCATTGATTGGTTGAACATGAATTTTCAATTCTTCAACTTGAATCAATTTGTTTCCAAGAAGTGCTTTCCAATCAATTAACATGCAATTTTAACCTCAATTCAAGTTTTTTACTTTAACAGAAAATACAAACTTTTCGTTGTTCCATTATTCAATTTTCATTTAAAGCTTTTAGGTGAAAAATGATTTGCTTTAGTTTATTTCATTTTATGCTGCGGTTTCCCTAATCAATTGTTTACCATTTGATTAGCGAATCAATTGAATGTTGATGAGTACAGATTATTGTTGATTAGTTTGATTTCATTTGATTGTCTCTCACGATAATCTCATTGGTTAACCGTAAAAAAAGAGATTCATTGAGTTTGTTCAACACTTTTCAGGGAAACCGGAAAATTGCCTTTTCTTCATTTCTCTTCCATCTTCATCTCATTTTTATTCAACTCACGCTACATCAAAGTCAGTCTGATGGTTATTATGATGAGTATGATGATGATGATGATGACAATATCTTCTCATTATAGAGTCTATTCTTACCTGTGAAACTTTGAATAGGTTTCAAGTTTATGTTGATATCCATTGACTTGAGATAATTAAATTAATTAACTTTCTTAACAAAAGAAGAAACAAAAGGAATCTTTTACTTCATTTGTTAATTATCAAAATGATTTCATTTTTTTGTGAAAAGTCGACTATTAATAAATAATGTTGATGATGATGAAGATAATGATGAAAATGATGAGGCATTAAGTGAGCCTCAAGTTTACCCAATTGAATGGTCATTGGGATCAACATTTATTACAAATACAAGAAAAGCTGTGAATAACAGACAAAAAAACAATGGACCTAAAGATGGACCAATATTGATGTTGAGATTGTTTGACCAGTTTAATGTTGATAACGATAATAATCACGCAAATCAAATATTGCAAGATACTTTCATCTGCCTTCTTCATTATTTATCTTTTTCATCATCAACTCATCTTGACTTTTATCCAGCTCACACTCAACACACACACACACACAAGAACCCAATTTAATTGTTAACATTACCTGAAAAAAAGGTTGAGAAAAAAATGTTTTTTACTCTTGGAATTGGCGCTTAAATTGTTGTGATTGACCTAAGTTTATATTACCTTTTGTTTTAATATTCATTGAATTGCGTGAAACAAAAAGTTATTGTTTCATTAACTTTCAATAATGAATTGACCAAGATTGACCATTTTTCCAATTCAAATTTATCTTCAATTGACAGCAGTTCCGACAATTCAATTGATTTTCAGTTTTACTTTTCAATCACTAATTGTAACAATGACTGACTTTTGTGACAAGTGCGAGTGGAAACTTGAAAAGGCGATAAACGGGTGATAAATCATTCAAATGTAATCTATGTGAAGGAAATTTTCCCGTTCAGATCATTCATCTATCACAAAAAATGAAATTTTCCAGATCAATTATTCTTAGAATACTGTTTATCAATACATTATTTCATCTTCCCGTAATATACATTACACTAGTAGTCAGGGTTAAGTTGCGAAAATTGGACATTTTTCTTAGTCGATATCTAACAAGAAATAAAAGTACCTTTGAGATCGAATTTGATTTTTCATAGATTTCTATTGTTTTGTGTCTCTTAAAACTGTAAATGCTCGAGATGGCAACACCTAAAAATTAACTTAACGCTGACTACCAGTGTATCTTCTTGTTTCTCATCCTTTTTAAATTTTCTTCCTTTTCTCTTCCATTCTTTCATCTTCATGCAAACAACCACTTTTTTAGTCTTCCTCATTGTATTATACCTTTAAACCTTAGTGTAACAAAGTCTATCCAAATCATGTATCAATATCAATTATGACAATAATAATAAGCCACAAAGCGGGCAAGAAATGAAGCAAAAAATATTGAACCCAAATCTCAATCTAAATTTTCAATTAAGTTGTTGATGGATTGAAAGGGGATTCAAGTTGAAATGAAAGTGTGCAAATCGACGGAAAGCAAAGGTAAAAAAACATTGACCGGACATTGGACCGCCACCGGACACCAAACATTGCTTATGAGTTGACCTTAAAACTCCTAGTTGAATCGCTTTATGTATGGAAGTATGAAACACTTTTACATGTTCAAAGTTTTCAGTGTTAAAATATTGCTTGCGTATTGATATCAATATAAAAGCTATTCTTTATGTTGTTCATCATTTCATCTGATAATCATAATTTCCAATAAATTTTAACTTCTTTAGTCAATTTTTCTTGTTCAAATTTGCTTGATCGCACCAAGCAATTGGTAATGATTATGGATTCATTTTCATGTTCATCATTTATTTGTTAATCAAGATAAATTGTTTTCTTTTTCCTGTTGATGAGGGGAAACTTGAAAAGATGAAAGAAGTTGCAAGGAAAAAGGTGAAGATTAAACCAGGTAACAACTTATCATCATCCTTCCCTCCATTGATAATTGTTGAATATTGGCTCTTTCCTTTAGATGGCGTCTCAATCGCAGCTCCCACTCATCATCATCTTTTATCATCATTTTTCACTCACTTTTTTACCTTTTTTCAACAAACCAAGTAAATGAATGTTAGTGAAAAAAGTTGACCTCAACGAGAAACGTTAAGCAAAAACGTTGAAAAATCCCGCAGCATCACCAAAACTACATTTTTAAACTAATTTATTTCATTTACATTTGATTGATTAACTTCAATTGTTGACATTTTTTTTGTGTGTGTTCTCAAGGATTCTCTTTTCATCAAATATCTGGTTTTCCGTGTCCATCAAGTTTACACCAAAAGTCCATCAAGTGTCAACCGTGAGTTTATCAAGTGTCTATTATGTTCATCATCATTTAACAATAAAAGTTGACCAGCAGTGATTCAATGACGCTCAGTCAAACTATGGATTCAGTTAATAGTGTACCAGAGGAAGAGGTGAGTCTAAGAGTTTCCCTAATTTACCGATATTCCCAATTGTATTCATCATTTACAATTCATAATCATGTTTGTTGTCCGTGTTTATGAGCAAGTTTGTACTCGATGAAGGTTAACCCATCAAAATGTACAACAATTTAGATCAACATTTTTTCTCATTTTCAAGTAGTTACACTTTTCTCGTTTGGTCTGATTATTGTTCCAGTTTTCCTTATTTGATTAACAATTGATGACAATTGTGATTGTTTCAATTAAATTGATCAATATTTTGATGAGTGAAGATGATCAACTTTTTCATTTGTCAACTAAAAAGTCAACTAATTAGCTTGCCATTTAAATTAAACTTCCTACATAATTTAAAGCTCTCAATTGTTAGTAAAAAAGGAATCAAAATTGCCTCTTCAATCTGACCTTTTAACATTAGATTGTATCAGCATCATTATCAATATCATCAGATTTATTGTCCAATTTACTGTTAACTAAATTAGGGTTCGTTTTAGTATCAACATGCAATGTAATGCTGCTCTGAATCAGGCAAACCATGATTTCCTAAGTCTATGCTGAGTCTATGCTATAGAAAATGTTTCACGAAACAATCCAAGAAACAAGATTTTTTCAAAATTGACTCTGACTTGAGCAATTTGCCTGCTGATTGTCTCTTAATCTTAATCTTTATCATCATCCAAGTGTTATTTTACCATAAAATCCCTGTTGTGTAAACTAATGTTTGTGCTCAAAGCTGTAAAAAAAACAAAACATTGAGATTAATCTAAATGTTTCTTAAATCTGTTGCTCACCATTTTGACTTGAACTTTAAAGTTTAAAACTTGATGAAACAATAACGATGAAGATAAATTGAATCTACTGAGAGAAAGAAACAAGTTTATCAATGTTTCTTGATCATCATCTCACCTTAAAACTTTAATCCTTTGTTTCATTTGTTTGATCAACATCTTTATTTGCTTTCTTGATGCTTACAGATTTGGCAAGATTTGGAGTTTGTCTTGTGTGCCAATGATCTCGGTCTGGTTATGAATGAAACTTTACCCGTTACTTTGTCAACCTCTTCCCGATTACTTACTCGGCAACATCAACAGTCATTTAACAATGAATTAATTTGTAATCGATTACCTTCTTCATCATCATCGCCAACATCAATGGTTGAAGAAAATATCCTGACCAATGGTTATCCGATTAAACAGGAGAAATTGGAAATGGAAATGGAAATTAATTTTGTACCAAAAATTAATAGAAACGTCAACAGTGGCAACAACAATGGTCTAAGTGATAATAGCAGCAATAGAAGTGAAGAGAAAAGTTTGACGATAAATCGATCCATCACTAAAAGCAGCAACATTTCTGGTGACAATCGATCTATAAATAGTGCAACAAATAGCAATGAAAATGCAATTAATGGTGATAGTTGTAAACAAAACATTGATAACAACAACAATGCCGATAATAATAATAGTAATAATAATAATAATGAAAATAGTGTCAATTTAAGCAATACAAATAGTAATAACATTGACAATAAAAGTAGTAAAAATGAATCGGACAAAATGATTACAAGTAATAACAATAATCACATTAACCATTCAAGCCCATTAAGTGTCAATTCTGGTATCACTTGTGATGCCTCCAATGAAGAGACAAATGATGATCTCAATGGGATCTCATGGACTCATGAAATGGTTTCAAGTGCCAAAGATCCAATGATCTGGTCTAATTCATCCGTTTCATCGTCAACCTCATCGCCATCACAAAATGCAAACTCACCAAAAAGTACCATGATCAATATTAATGTCAATGGCAATGCATTTCAACCCGTTGAAACTTTAAGCTACTTCTGTGATTCCCCATTAAATGATCATCAGCATGCCCATCAGCATCACTCTTCTCATCAAAATTATCATCTATCTCACCATCAACAGCAACAACAACAACAACACAACTACATGAATGGATCAAGTAATAATGGCCAAGCTCATGGCTATTCCTCGCCTTTGGGCTCAACTGGTTACTCTTGTAAATATTTTTCACCTTCACCCACCTCGTCATCATCTCCGGCATCGCCTCCTCACCCATTGATATCATCGACAACAAATGCAACTCCATCGTCCACATCAACAACAAACACTATTCTTGCTTCTTTAAATGGATCACTGTCTTCGGTATCTTCATCTTCCTCTTCATCTTGTTCATCTTCATCCTCATCTTGTTCACCCTTTGACACTGGCTCTAGCTTGGTGTCGTCTCTTTGTGGTACTTTGATACCACTGGTTGGATCACAAATGTCACCTCCAGCTTCACCCCAAAACGAGAACAAACCCTATATCAATCATTATCACCATCTTCACCCTCATCTCCACCATGGTCATCACAATAATCATGAGCAATATTTGACAAACACTGAACTTGCAATTAAACTTGAACCTGTTCATCAACATCAACATGACTCTGCTCTTCACCAAAATACAAATTTTACCAATAATCAGCAATCAATTCACCATCAACCTGTTCACCAATCACACCATCAACATATCCACCATCAACATCACCATCATCAACCTCACCACCACA